CACAGATTGAACCCTGAAACAACCTCTGGGCTGATCTAAGTCAGGGCATGACTAACTCACAGATTGAACACTGAAACAACCTCTGGGCTGATCTAAGTCAGCGCACGGTTAACTTACAGATTGAACCCTGAAACAACCTCTGGGCTGATCTAAGTCAGCGCACGGTTAACTTACAGATTGAACCCTGAAACAACCTCTGGGCTGATCTAAGTCAGGGCTTGGCTAACTCACAGATTGAACCCTGAAACAATCTCTGGGCTGATCCAAGTCAGGGCATGGCTAACTCACAGATCAAACCCTGAAACAACCTCTCGCTTGATCAAAGTAACTATAGAGCGTCATTTTACAGGGATCGCGAAAGGTATCCCGATGAAAAACGTTCGAAACGCTATCTTCGCGAGGAATACATCCAACGACTTTCCAAAGGACCTATTAAGTACAAATTACAACTCCAATTGCATGAAGTCTCTCCAAGCGACTCCCAGCAAATACTGAGTGCCGCCAAGCAATGGAATGACGACACGCATCCATGGATGGACTTGGCTGACGTCACTATTACAACAATGCTCCCTGATGACGAAGTAGAACGCACTAAGTATAACGTTGCTAATTGTCCGCCATCCCTTGGCATTATAGGGTCTCCTAAGTCCATGTATGACTTTACATGCATCAATTATATTAGAAAAAGAATTTACAAAAGGAGTCAGAAGATGAGGCTTCTCACGAGTCCTGATGAGAATGAAGGCGGGATGGTGACGTATTTGATCACCGTGGAAACTGGTGACGTCAAGCACGCGGGGACAAATGCAACCATCTCCATTACAATGACTGGTATTACTAATCGAATCATTATCTTTAAAAACCTTTCTTTCTTGTCTCTTTTTGTTAATTTTGTTCTCCTTCAAAACACATCACTTTTATCTACCCTGAAACGTCTGTGCTGATAAATGCCAGAGCACAGATCAAGCTCTAGGACAACGTTTGGGCTGATCTAAGTCAGGGCACGGTTAACTCGCAGATCAAACCCTGAAACAACCTCTGGGCTGATCTAAGTCAGGGCATGGCTAAATCAAAGATTGAACCCTGAAACGACCTCTGGGCTAATGTAAGTCAGGGCATGAATAACTCACAGATTGAACCCTGAAACAGCATCTGGGCTGATCTAAGTCAGGGCATGGCTAACTCACAGGTCAAACCCTAGAACAACTTTCGGGCTGATCTTAATCAGGGCACAGCTAACTCACAGATCAAACCCTGGAACAACCCTTGAACAACATCTCGAGTAGTTCAGGAATCAAACCCGTGACTCCAAAAAAAGAGCGACGACTGCCGGTGTGTGACTATTGCTTTAACCAATCAGAAGTGGGCAAATTTTGATTTGAATTTCTTGTTTTTTTTTAGGATCAAAGGGTCGAACCGACGCCATAGTCCTCGACAAGACATTCCATGACGATTTCGAGAGAGGTGACTATGAAGAGTACCAAGTGAAAGCCATGGATGTAGGTGACCTCTACGTCATCCGTATCCATAACGACGGGGGAGGATCACTTTTCAAGAATCCTGATTGGTTCGTTAACAAGGTGACTGTTTTGAAAGAAGGAAGTGAGACACCTTACGAGTTCCCGTGTTACTGTTGGGTGTTGAAGGATCTGACAGTTTTTAATGGCTCAGGTACGAAAGAAGTGGTCCATAGATATTTTGTTGTTGAGCTCTTGCAATTATTGTAATTGATGAAGAGACCTTATTCTTCTTGGTGCAATGTTTTCCCATTTCAGACCACGTGTCATTCTCTAAGAATTTATTATTAGACCTTGAATATATTAAATGTGGTCAAACGTTTGCGTGTTGCGCTGTAACAGTTGTACATAAGAAGACACGTAAATAGGAATACAACTTAAACACAGAATCTTATTCTCAAGAGCACGTGTCATTCCTTGGAGTATCATTTCTTTGTTTAACGGTTGCACATGAGAAGACACATGAATATGAATACAACTCAAACAAAGAATCTTATTCTCAAGAGCACGTGTCTTTCCCTAGAGTATCATTTCTTTATTTAACGGTTGCGCATGAAAAGACACATGAATATGGATACAACTCAAACAAAAAATCTTATTTTTAAGACCATGTGTCATTCCCTAGAGTATCATTTCTTTGTTTAACGGTTGCACATGAGAAGACACATGAATATGAATACGACTCAAAACCAAGAATCTTATTTTCAAGAGAATGACACGTGGACTGAATTGGGTAAACATTGCACCAAGCCCGTAATGCGTGAATGGAAAATGTCATAAATAAAATGGAAAGGAAAATGGGATCGAGAAAAAAAGAGAAAAGGAAAAAAAGGAAACGGAAGAAAACGAGAAAAGTAACAAGCGTTTAAAAAAAAAAAGAAAAAGAAAAAGAAAGAAAGAGAAGGGAAGGAAGAAAGGGAGGGAGGAGAGAAGGAAGAAAGAAAAAAAGAAAGGAGAGAGTATATATTTATTATAACCTGTAACTTTTTTTGAATATAACCATTATAACCTGTTACATACCAGCTTCAAATTATCGTCTTTTTTATTTTATTTTATTTTATTTTTTTCATAAACTTTCTCTAACTTTCTTTATTTTATCTTCGTCTTTTTTAAATACCTCAAACAGGTTTGTTACCCCAACAAGATCAACCAGAAATCGTGCGTATCACTCGTGAGCTACAAACCCAACAACGCCAACAAGAATATCACTGGATGAGCAGAGAAACTTTCTCTCATTTCCCTGGATGCATCAACGCAGCAGAACACGATGAGATTCCCAAAGACTCACAGTTTTCTGACCCCTCAATCAAGTCCTTTAACACAGGGCGCATTCATGCTGGGATAAACCTTGGTATTACTTATCTGATGACTCTTTTTGAGAACTGGGATGAACTGGATGACTTCAAGGACATGTATACAGGTACTCGCTATTATACAAGACACAACTCGTAAGATATCAAGGTGCTTCGATACAGCTACATTAATAATAATAATAATAATAATAATAATAATAATAATAATTTATTGATTTATATTGCGCTTTTTAACATGTAATGATCAAAAGCGCATTACAACAATAAATATACAATATACAAATATATATATACA